ACCTGCGGGGAACTCTGCAAAAAACGCATCTTCGCACGGGCAGTCTGTGCGTTGGCCATTTATTTAAAAAGTGTTGCAGATTCGAGTTATTTGAATGCAGCGATAAGTAGGAAATTATTCAAGAGTTTAATTTTTGCTTGGAAAGGTTACAGTTAGTGCAATTACTTGAAAAGGGCTTCATCAACTGGCTTTTTCTCTTTGTTTATCCGACCTCTCGAAGAAATAGAAAGTTTCTGTACTTTCTTTGTCACTGATACACAAGTTATTGGTGTCATGAAGAAACAGAAGGCAGCCGGTCTTTCATAACTTGTCTTTAGTTTTAGAATCTTTTTTTTCGTCTTTCCTCTGTCCCTTTTATTTCTTTTTATTCACAGTTCAAGTTGCAATTTTGTCGATATAACGACCAATCTGTAGTTTCTAATGTCTCCATGGTTTTTAGAGCAAAGCGAACGGGGGGTGATTTGAGCTTAAATAAGAATCCGGGGTTTTATTTCCATCTCTTTCGATATATCGATGATATTTTAGTCGTGAACTGCGCCAATTTTGCTGAAACTGCGAGCAATATCTATGGGCCCGACTTACAACTCAACACTACTTACTCCGGACAACATGCCTGTTTCTTGGACCTCCAAATTCTATGCTAAAGTGGCAGATGCATTTTTAGCATACACAATAAGACCTTGGACTACCCATTCACAGTTAATTACGGTGGGCATCCTGATAGCGATATGGACCATGCTGTACAAGATGGCGTTATTATATCGCAACTACTTCGATATGCGCGCATTTCTACCGTTCCAGAAGGGTTTCTTGACTGGGCTAGACGCCTCACAAACATTTACAAACAAAAAAAGTTTGATGTCGCTAGGGTAGAACGCTACGTTTTAAGATTTTGCTTCAGGAACCGATTAGTACTGAGTAAATTCATTTACCCTGATGGCCTAGGAATTAAAAACCTAGTTTGTGCGATATTCTCATAAAAGCTGTCTCCTCATAACTTCATAAAATTGCTATCCTTACCATATGTTAATTTCCTCCTCTTCTACCTGCTCTATCACTCCTCCTTCTTTCATGATATTAAATAGTTTCTCTCCTTCTTACTCTGTTTATCTTTTCTCTTCACTCATCCTTCTAGCTAATTAGCTACATGTCTTTTCAATACATGGCGGGTAGGAGGCTGTACTGACGATTCCCACTCCTACC